TGTGAGGGTAGTCCTATATTTATTTTAACACTGATTTATTTTAAACAGTTCACACTAGGTTTTCTATTTTTACATTTTAGATATCTTCCATTACTACATTTCTATATAGTTGTATCATTCATTTTATACTTTTTCTCACTAGGATTTGTATATACACCGAGATATACTTTTGATCTTGCTATTGAAAAATGAGACAGGAGGCGGAAAAAGGGGAAGTGTTGGTAGGCAAATGAGCAGTCACCTCAATGCCTAGAGATAGAGGTAATAGCTAGATGTACCCTTTTCTGCAGAGTGGCATGCAGGCGCTCGCTCGCTCTCTCTCTCTCCACCTCTCTCTCCCTCTCTCCCTCTCTCTCTCTCTCCATCTCTCTTAAATTAACTTCGAATACCTGCAGTTTTACACTTTAGTGAATAGCATTGATAATGTACGTTATTAATGCATGTTATTAAATCTGCATTTCTGCCTCTATACTTTGTAGTCCTTTCAGTTTCTGTAAAGGGGAAAAAAGAAGACAATGCAATTAACTGTTAATTATTTTTGTATGCAAGATAGATTGTAAAGAGGCTCTCATTTTTTATACATGGAGATTGCATGACCTTTTAGTGTTGAGTAATATGGTCCCAGATTTAAGAACAAACATTTGGCAAAAAAATGTGATTTAAAAAAAAATATATATATATAAAAATGGGTGGGTTTTTGTAAAAAAAAAAAAAAAAAAATGTTTTATTCTTTTAATTAAGATTCCCATTAACTTCTGTCATAATTTCACAAGGCAATCGTCCAAGAATATAACCATTCTTTCTCTCTCTTTTTTTTTTTTAATTTAATTTTTACATTTTTTTTTTTTTTTACCAGTTTTAGATGAGCTCAATGAACTTTTAATGGAGGTTCTTAATTACCAATTATGGGCAGAAAAGCAGTCAAATTTCAGCAGATGTCCTCAGTTAAGCCGATTAAACATTTCCCTGCATTTGCAGTCTTTCATTCTACATCTGTCCACGCTGTAGTTGCTTTTTTGTAATGTGGGTGGTCAGGTGTGCGGTGGAATGCAGGTGTGAATTTTTATACTGCCCACTTAAAGGTTTACTCCAACCACAAAACACAGTTTTAAGAAAACTCCTTTTAGTCAGAGTAACCCTTCCAATACTGGTACCCCTCACCCTCTCCCAAAAGTAAAGATAATAGCTAAAACCTACCTCTATTTGATCTCCAAGGTAAAGTCCTCCCTGTACTCCGATCCTCCTTCTTGAAGGAAGTGTAGGGATGTCAGGAAGAGGGGGCTGAGGGGAGGGCATGAGCAGCACAAAAATGTCATCACTGGCTGTCAGGCACCATCATGCTGTGTGTGCTGGTGTCAGACACCCTTTTTGCACAAAAATTGCATTAGTGACAAGGAACTTTTCTTTTGTTCTGACTAATGATGCCCCAATAAGTTACACCAGTTTTGTATTCCTAACAGTATAGTTTTCCTTTAATAGAGCTTCAGGCCAGCTGCATTGGGATTGGGCGAAACAATCACCATCTCAATAATAATTATATATATATATTTGTGTTCGGGGCATTCTCATTGTACATGAAAATATGCTGTTGGAGAGAAATAACATAACAAGGAAATAGTCGGTTGAGGTGTGCCGAAACCGATGTGTGCTGTAGGCCGGTAAATAAAGTGGGCCCACATAAAGGAAAAGTATAACTAAAGGCAGTGGAGGGTGGGGCTGTTCGTCTAGACCAACGAAGGTAAGTAAGGGAAGGGGGGAGTCCCTTAAGTAGGTCTATAGCCCCTTCCACAACTTCAGGCCATGCCTTCCAATTTGTGTTCGGGGCATTCTCATTGTACATGAAAATATGCTGTTGGAGAGAAATAACATAACAAGGAAATAGTCAGTTGAGGTGTGCAGAAACCGATGTATGCTGTAGGCCGGTAAATAAAGTGGACAAAAAGATAATTCAAAGATAACATTTAATCGGAAAACATAATACATTCTTTACATATTTAAATAGACATTTTAATGAAAGCCCTCCTAATCTCTTGGACTGGGTTAGGAATGTAAGTGGTGTAAGCTGAAGACTTCCAGCGACCTAGAGTCTTAATTACGTGTGCTGGGATGTCTTGGCTAGATGCCGTGGAGGCTGCTCCAATTCTGAAGGAGTGCCCCGAGTAGTTGCTAGGGTTGAGACCAAGTCGGGCGATAAGCATGCGGACATACAGCATGAATTTTGCTGTGGTTAGAATTGTGTCGTGTAGCTTAAGTAGTGGTTTTGCGGTGTGTGACGGCGTTGTAGCTAGGAAAGCGTCTAGTACTTGTACCAGACACCACTTGTTCCCTGTGGGGTAGTAGGTTATGTGCACAGGTTCCCCCATCTGACTTGTTTTGGTTTTAGGTAGGGTCAGAATGTAGTAGTCGGTGTGTTTCCTGAGGTAGGAGGTGAGGAGGCACCCTTGGCTATGGTGCTGGAATTCTCTAGGTCTAAGAAACCCGTAGAATGCTAGATAAATAGCCGTTTTAATGACCGCATTCGTATGGGGTTCAAATGGAGCCTGGTCAAGAAGGTCGGACAGGGATTTGAACAGTTTTATGTCAATGGCAAGTCTCTTGGGAGTCGCAGGGCTCCTGGGGTTCTAAGACCTGCGAAATGTCTGAGGAATAGCTCATTGTCCAGTTGGCTCCAATCCATCTGGATGCCGTACTGAGACAATGTGGCTGACACTTTTGATGAAAAGGACTTGTGGTAATCGTAAAAGGACTTGTGGTAATCGTAAAACTTATTACCGAGGTCCACCAGCTTGTGCAAATATAGATCGAGTTCCTCTATTGGGATGAGCCGTGCACACAATATCTCTGAAAATACCGAAAGCCAGCGCGAAATCAGCAATGGCAAGTTTCTTACTGAGTCTGGGGGCTTTTAAAACCACGAGATGTCCCCATAGTCATAAGACCGGTTCTCCACAATATCCTGGGAGGCAATGAGCAGTGAGACTAAGTTAAAGTCCTTGCCTTCCAGGATGTCCTTTTTAAGATTTGCCGGCACCATGTGTGCAGGGTTAATAACGTGTGCGGCTGCTTTTGTGGCTATAGCATTACCCGGTATTGCTGTGGGTATGGCGGGGATTAATTCTGGAGGTTGTACGGGGAAGCTACGGGCTTCTAGCCTCTCCAGCCTGTCATTGACCTTCCCCATAGAAGAGACTAGGGAGGCAACCATACCATGGAGAGTCGGGTCTTGGGAGTTGTTGTGCCTTCCCCCGCGTCTGTATTAATGGTATTGGTTCTTAGCAGCTTGAACAGTTCTGCTTTCCTGGCAGTAGCTGGGAAAGGAATGCTGCGTTTGCGTAATTCTGCAGTGATGCGGGGGATAGTCCATGATCTGATGGACGAGGGGCTTCCCGTGTCGCCCTTGCGGGTCGGAGTAAGTGACCTAGCAGGGGTGCTTGGGATTGACATATCCTCAACATCATCTGGTGGTAGGGACATACTGAAAAATATAACAGATAAGTATGGTAATCAGGGTTGGGAGTTGACGGATGGCTAGCTAGTGCCAGATGGCGAAAAGATTATACTAGGTTTGTGACAGGTTAGGCCCTGCTAGTGCCAAGTGGCTAGAGAGGCTCCATCTATGACTTGGCGCGAGGGGTGGGGTAGCCTATTCGTTGATGGGTCGTTGGCCTCTCCATGCGTGTGAGGGGGGTTTGGTGGTGACTGGTGTCACCCTCTCTATATAATTGCGAGGCGGCTAACTATGATTTGGCCCGAGGGGTGTATAGTACCTCGAAGTGGAGGATGGGAGTTGGCCTCGCGGACCGCTAGGACTAAGGAGCAGGGAAAACTATTTAAAAGGCTGTGTGGACAATAACGTGACCCAACATACCTGCAGAAAAATGAGGCCTGGCTTCTGTATAAGATAAAACAGAGGTCTCTTAAGTAGGGAGGGGGGCTTAGAGTAGCTGACCCGTCCAGGGGTATCCGCCTGGAGGTATAAGAATTTAAGATAAGGTACTCTTGCAAGATATACACATAAGACTGTAGAGCTGAGAGTAGTAAGCGTTTAGGGGGTGACTGCAGAGAGTGCCGACCACCCTATAGACACAATGCTCCCAGTAGCCATGTTCCTTTAATATTAACAGGGATTAATTATCTTAAAACTTTAAAGTTTACTACAAACATAATGCAGATATAATATGATATTATCTAATCACCCGTTAAGTAATGCATTTATTATTATTATAACTGTTATAACTGATAAGCATGAAGTACTTATATATGTATATAACAGGATTCTACTTGCAGTAATTAAATATATAAACCAACACAGCATTTAAACAATTAAAGGCATTTAACCGAGATATGTTGTATTCAGTAAATGGCTGAAGCTAGGAGTCAGCCAGCACCAGACCAGTACCCACACCCTCCCTCCCTTTTTTTAACCTGTGAAAAATAAACCGGATTACCCAGACAAGCAGCCCACCTTCCCCCTTCCCTGTGTAATGCCAGGGGGAAATAGACCGTGTTTCCCCCTGACAACCAGCCCACCGTCCCCCTCAATCTCATGAAAAAGTTGCCGGCCGGCGGGAACAGGGACTCCAACGGTAATGGAGTCTCTGTGCCTGTTCCCGACCTTGCCGTGCTGCCCGGTGAAAATAATGCCCCCCTGCTCACCTCCCCGTCGTGCTGGGGAAGCCGGTCGGCCTGTGGAGCCGGTAGTGCCGGGGAAACCCGGATACTCACGAGTGTGACGTTTGAAACCGGCGCCGCATCTCACCGGAAGTGACGTAGCACAACAGGAAGCCGGAAGAGAAAAGGACCGGCGAGTATCACGCTGTTCGTCTAGACCAACGAAGGTAAGTAAGGGAAGGAGTCCCTTAAGTAGGTCTACAGCCCCTCCCACAACTTCAGGCCATGCCTTCCAATATATACACACACACGGCCTCGTATGGCTCCAGTGATGCAGCATGAAGTGATATAATCATCACTCAAGAATAATGTTCAGCCAGGGTAATCTGTGGCTCTCCAGATGTTTTGGACTACATCTCCCTTGATGGCCCTAAGAGCATTATAGGAGATGTAGTCCAAAACATCTGGAGGGCCGCAGATAGCCCACCCCTGGTGTAAGGTAAAACTCAAAAATAGTGCTCTCAGTAGATAAAGAGCCATGTAGTAAAAAAGAAGGAATTGTACTTGCATATTTCTGAGCTATATGGTGTTGCTCAATCCAGAAGGCGTGGATACAATACCCAATACATTAATTATGAATGGATATGATCACATATTAATGGAGGTCCAGGAGCAGGGAAAAAAATACAACATTATTTATACCTATATAAAAGCAATAAAATATAACCTATAAAAACACGAACGCGTTTCACCTTCTCAAAAAGGCTTTTTTAAAGTGTGTAAGGGTCTTCTTTCTTCTTATAGCGAAAATTAAAATTCCAGTTTGAAACCAATATGGCATAATGGTCATTTATTGGTGACCTTTGACATCATAGGTCTAATAAAAGTACATAAACAAATGAAAGAGGGAAGCTATAAATAGCATACATATAATTTACGTTGGTGGGATGGATTTAACTTGTAGGCATTTATATAGCTATTCCCTCTTTTTTGTAAACTTATTTTTAAGGTGTGTATTTTACTTGTTTAGACTCTATCAAAATGGCGGTGCCGAATGCTCCTGTTATACGGTGTAGATGACCAAATTGCGCTGCAACAAAATGGTGGACGTCTCAGAATTATTCTTTATGTAACAAATAAAATAAACTTGGTAATAGTGGAGGTTGTATAGCATTCTGGTTAAATGTAGTGTATATTGTTTCCCTGCAACTCTGCACTACACATTTTCTCCCAGTAATGCAGCCCTGCATAATCCATGTTTTACAAGTAATGCAGCCCATGACGCGTACATTTCTCTACTAGAAGGCTATTTTTCTACAAGTGCCCAGATTAGAGGCTAGAAAATCAAGCTGCATTTTTCATTGCTGTGACTGTCTTTTGCCCGATTTACTATCATATATCAAGAGTTTACCAGGGAGTAACCCTGTCGGTATCCGTGACGTAAATTGGAGAGCTGGGAAATGTAGCTCCCTTGTGCGATCATGTCTTCATAGCAGGTCGAAAAAGATAGCAGGGGCTGCTCAATACAGAGTTTGCAGCTGGTACCTGCTGAGCAAATCAAAGCCTGTGTTGTGGGCGAGAATAGTGTGGCTCTTTGCCCATTACAGAAATCAAGGTATGTCCACTAGGGAGCAGCCAAATAGTGCATTGCTTAATTATTTACTCATCAACCTCACATTAAGTGCAAGAAACACATCTATACAGCACCTGGCTGTGTATCGCTAGTTATTAAACCAATGAGCTGTTTAACTCCTTCAGTACCTGAAGGATAGCATATGGATGTGTCCAATGTGAACACAATAGCTTACAAAAAATTTTTTTTTTTTTCATGACTAAATTTATAAAATTAGTTATTTTTTTATTTTAAGAATATTTAAAAAAAACAAAACTGTTTTCTTATTTATTTTAAATACTCTGTAATTTAAATTATGTGGGCACCTTGTGTATTACAAAAACAACAAACAAAAAAATGATGGCTAAAATGTTTTCATTCTGATAAAACCCTCTTGGGACCTTTCTAATAAAGCCATTAGGTGCTTTTCTTAAAACCCATCCGACCTCACATTAACTCTCCATTAATCGTCCCCAGTCATGCTGCAGGGTCACCTGGATGAATGGACATTGATGTACAAGCACTGCCCACTCTCCTGCTCCCCCTCGTTGAGCTGTGCACATTAATCACTCAGAGCATTAATGAATTATTGACCCTATGGGTTATTGAGTCCCAGTGTTACCGAATTGAAATGTTAAATAGGTGACAAGCAGATGGAAAGGCAAGGACCGAGAGAGGCCAGATACTTGGATATTATTCCACTGGATTTCCCTGGATAAAGGGGTCAGCGCACTCATTTAAGACCTCCATGGTTTATGAATAGTGATGTAAATGTTTTAACAAAATGCCATGCATGTGATTTCATTAAGTGTTTTAATGAATTCACTGTAGAAAAGTGGCAATTAACATGTGAACTTTTACAAATGGCACCAATAACTGGTATATTATAAGTTTTTATATGTATATTCTTCACAGTTGTCTATATTTACATAGAAAGCCTTTCCAAATCCCCAGTCCTTCGTTCCTGGGAGCTTGGAATGTGTGTTGTATATGAATGTCTATAAACACAAAGATGCTCCCGTTGTGCTGAACGCTCCCGGGGAAGTCTTGCACCCAGACAGACTGTCTCCATTGTGTTCATACAGCGCAGCCCTTGCCTTTGCCAAACAGTCAAACTTTTCCTCTCTCATTAGTTCATGCTCCCGCAATCCCATTAGTCTCTTTGACACCTTTAAAGGACCACTCTAGGCACCCAGACCACTTCAGCTTAATGAAGTGGTCTGGGTGCCAGGTCCAGCTAGGGTTAACCCATTTTTTTTTTTTTTATAAACATAGCAGTTTCAGAGAAACTGCTATGTTTATAAATGGGTTAATCCAGCCCTCAAATCCTCTAGTGGCTGTCTCAAAGGTAAGAAAGGTAAGTTTTAACCCCTTTCCTCTCCCCAGAGCCCGGCGGGAGGGGGACCCTGAGGGTAGGGGCACCCACAGGGCACTATAGTGCCAGGAAAACTAGTATGTTTTCCTGGCACTATAGTGGTCCTTTAACTCTCTTCTTTGCCCTGCTGTGGCCACCCCTCAAACTAACCTTACAACCTATAGCATTGCATGCCATTCTGGTGTCAAGAGGGAATTTTTTTCCTAGCTTGTTGCAAAATTGGAAGTGCTTCAAACTGGATTTTTTTGCCTTCTTTTGGATCAACAGCAAAAAACAAACGTGAGGAAGGCTGAACTTGATGGACGCATGTCTCTTTTCAGCTATGTAGCTATGTAACTATGCTACTTTACCAACAAGATCGAACAGCTAAGGAAAGAATCTCACCACCTTGCCGTTTTCTTTCTCAACCACATGTAGATCATGCCTTTCCTACTCTTCAGACTTTCTCCCCGGCTACTGAACAAGAGGTGGCTGTGCTTCTCCTCTTGACCCACCACTTGCCCGTTCGATCCTGTCCCATCTCACCTTATCAGATCTCTCTCCCCTTGTCTTGTGCCTTCATTAACACACATCTTCAACTGCTCTCTCTTCTGGCATTGTCAATACTGACCTTAAACAAGCTACTGTAGTACCTATCCTGAAGAAAAATCTCTTGATCAGTCTTCCCCTCCAACAATCGCCCCATATCCCTGCTCCCTTTTTCCTCAAAGCTTCTGGAAAGACTTGTCTTTACCCATATGTCTCACATCCTCAATTCCAACTCTCTCTTTGACTCTCTTCAAGCTGGCTTCCGCACTCTCCATTCTACTGAGACTGCTCTTATAAAGGTTACTTACGACCTAATCGCAGCTAAATCCAAAGGCCACTACTCCATACTAATTCTTCTTGACCTCTCTGCTGCCTTTGACACTGTTGATCATGATCTCCTTCTTCAAACTATTCAATCACTCATTCTCTGTGACTGTCCTCTCATGGTTTTCCTCTTCTCTCTCCCAACGCTCATTTAGTATCTGCTTTTATAATTATACCTCCTCCGCTTGCCATGTCTCATATGGAGTCCCCCAGGGCTCTGTCCTTGGTCCCCTTCTATTTTCTCTTCATACTGCCTCTCTTGGCAAACTTAATGCCTCATTTGGATTCCACTACCACCTGTACGCTGATGACCCCCAGATATATCTCTACTCCCTGGACCTCTCCCCTGCTGCCCTGCAATGTGTCACTGCTTGCCTTTCTTCCATCTCTGACTGGATGTCCTCCCGCTTTCTGAAATCTCTTTAAAACTGAGCTCCTTGTCTTTCCTCCTAATACTGATCCTACTCTTTCGCTCTCCCTTCAAGTTAGTGGTATGCACATAAGTTCATCCTTGCAAGCATCATACTTGATTCTGGTCTCACCTTTCAGCCTTACATCCAGTATGTTGCCAAATCCTGTAGATTCCATCTTAAAAACATAGCCCGCATCTGCCCCTTTCTTATGCAAGATGCTGTCAAGGAGCTTGTCCATGCTCTAGTAATTTCCAGCATGGATTATTGTAACCCTCTCCTAATTGGTCTTCCCAAAAGCAGTATTACCCCGCTACAGTCTGTAATGAATGCTGCCGCCAAACTGATTTTCCTCTCTAGCAGCTCCTCTCACACCTCACCCCTCTGTCAGTCCTTACATTGGATTTCTGTATCCTATGCGAATCAATTCAAAGTGCTATCCCAACAATTCTAGTCCCTTTTATATCTCTTCATAGATCCATAGGTATGCCCCTTCTCGGTCTCTCCACTCTGCCTGTGACTTTCTCCAGTCCACTGCTCACCTGTACGGCCAACTCACACTTGCAGGACTTCTCGTGGGCAGCTCCGTTCCTATGGAATAGCCTGCCTACTGCCATTAGACTCTCCTCTAGTCTTCAATCAGAAGTGCCTTAAAACCCATCTCTTTAGGAAAGCTTATGGCCTCCTAGAGTAACCTCTACCTCACATACCTGTCTCCTGATTGCTATTTCCTGTCCTATTGTGTTTTACACCCCACCTCTTATAGACTGTAAGCTTGTTTGAGTAGGGTCCTCTCCAACCCATCGTTCATGCACGTTTTCTTGTAATTTTCCTATTTATAGTTAAATTCCCCCTCTCATAATATTGTAAAGTGCACCGGAATCTGTTGGCACTATATAAATGGCAATAATAATAAAGAGGGGCTGTACTTGAGTTAAATCTCTTCGTTATGAAGAAGGTGCTCCAGACTGCTGGGATAGCCAAACCCATAATACTACTGGCAGAAATTAGTAGAGAGTGCAGGCAGTCCAGATTCTTCAAATATCAGACATTTTTAATAGGAACATCCAACTACTTGTGACAGCGTTGTGGCCTTGCAATGTGACCTTTTCCAAGCCACAGAGGTCACATTGTGTCGAAACATTGTCATGAGTGCTTGGATTTTTCGACTAAACAGCATAGGGATAACACCTAACATTTTTCAAGTGACACTTTATTCCTATTAA